ATCATCATTAAATACTAAAACTTCCTGGGTATGGTGGCTTACAGCTGTAATCTCGGCACTTTGGGAGGCAATGAGGGAGGGTTGCTGGAGCCCGCAAGTTCAAGACCAGCCTGGGCAACACAGCGAGATACTGTCTTTACAAAAAAAAAAAAAAATTTTAGATTAGCTGGGCATGGTGGTGTGCATTTGCAGTCCTAGCTACTCAGAAGGCTGAGGTAGGAGGAAAGCTGAAGTCCAGAAGTTTGAGGTTGCAGTGAGCTTTGATCACGCCACTGCACTCCAGCCTGGGTGAAACAGCAAGACCCTGCCTCAAAAAATATATATATATATAGATATACATAGATATATAGATAGATAGACAGATACTAGGCTTAATACTTGGGTGATCAAAGAATCTGTATAGCAAAACTCCATGACACGCATTTACCTAAGTAACAAACCTGCAAATCCTGCACATGCACCCCTGGACTTAAAGGATTAAAAAAAAAGTTACGTTCAAATTGTGTATGTGTTTTCCCATGTGTGTAAACACATACACAAAGAGGGAGAGTACACGTAGTAGCAAGAAGATAAAGCAAGTGCGGTGAATTAACAATGGATAAATCTCTGTAATCTGTGTGTGTGTGTGTGTGTGTGTGTGTGTGTGTGTATGGCTGAGCACAGTGGCTTACACCTATAATACCAACACTTTGGGAGGCCACGGAGGGCATGCTGCTTCAGGAGTTTGAGACCAGACTGGGCAACATGGCCAAAACCCCGTCTCTACAAAAACAAAAAAATTAGCCGGGCATGGTGGCACATGCCTATAGTCCCAGCTACTTGGGACGCTGAGGCAGGAGAATTGTGTAAGCTTGGGAAATGGAGGTTGCAGCGAGCCAAGATTGTGCTACTGCACTCCAGCCTAGGTATCAGAGTGAGACCCTGTGTCAAAAAATAAATGAATAAATAACTTAAAAAAAAAATTAAAAAAGTATAAATGCCAAAATAGCATTTGATGAAAATAAATTTGATGAAAAGTAGGATATTTACATAGTCTCAAAGGAACTAACAAGTACTCAAAATACTTATAAATTACAAAGGGAAAACAGTAATTTTACAGGGTATAATTGGCAGAGGCCATCTTAACCAAGTAACTAAAGTAAACATCACCAATAAAGGAACAAAGATATCACATGCTTCTGATTTAATATAAGTTCTAGGGTATTCCTGTCAAAAAACAGCCTGAGAAGCCATCAAACATAAGAAACCATCAAACAAATCCAAACTGAGGGATATTCTACAAAATAAATTATCCATAGCCAAGGCCATGAAAAATAAACAAACAACAACAACAACAACAAAAAAAAAAAACCAGAGAAACTCTTTCAGACTAAATGAGACCAAAGCTGCATGACAAGCAAATTCAGCAGATTCTGGACCAGACCAAAAAAAATTTTTAATTAATTTTTTAATAAGCACTCAAACCTAACTTCTGAAAAAAAACTTTTTAAAATTTATTTTTAAAATAAATGATATTGTGGGATAACTAGCAAAATTTACAGGTCTTTAAATAAGATAACAGTACTATATCATTGTTAATTTCCTGATCTTGATATAATAGTGGTTGTATAATCGAATGTTCTTGTTTTTATGAAATACACACTGAAGTATTCATTATGTCTATAACCTACTGTCAAGTAGTTCAGAAAAAATTAGTACATATTATACAGAGGGAGAATGATAAAACATACATGGTAAAATGTTAACTGGAGAACCTGGATGGAAGGTATATAGGAAATCTTTGTACTATTGTTGCAACTTTCAAGCCTGCCATAATTTCAAAAGAAAAGGTTAAAAATTTTCACCCACTTTCATCTTAGCTGAATTAAAAGGGAGGGGGAAAAAAGAATAAAGAAAAAGTTAAAAATTCTCTGAGCTTGAGCCAGGTGCAGTGGCTCATGCCTGTAATCCCAGCACTTTGGGAGGCTGAGACAGGTGGATCACAAGGTCAGGAGATAAAGACCATCCTGGCTAACAGTGAAACCCCATCTCTACCAAAAACACAAAAAATTAGCTGGGCGTGGTGGCACACGCTAGTCCCAGCTACTTGGGAGGCTGAGGCAGGAGAATTCCTTGAACCCAGGAGGCGGAAGTTGCAGTGAGCCAAGATGGTGCCACGGCACTCCAACCTGGGTGACAGAGCAAGACTCCATTTAGAAAAAAAAAATTATCTGAGCTATAATATTGTCACAGAAGAACTGATGTACAGATCTAATGATGTAACAAATAAGTTAGCACTCCATAATCTGTCAAGTTATAAATGTTAAATATTGCTTTATTGTGAGCTCTTATACTCATGGAGGCTTTATGAATGAGGTAAACATGTTACAGTCGAGCCTTGATGATTTAGCAGGGGATTGGAAGAAATGTATTTCAGAAAGAAAAGCCACAGTGATGAGGCCAAACATGCCTTTTCTGAAGATAAGAAAGTAGTCTCTCAATCCACATGCAGGCACTTTAGCATTAGTACTTCCACTGTTACTAAGTATAGACTTTATTTACTCTGACATCTTAAAACAACCCTCCATCCCCACAACCTAACTGAACCATTAAGTGTAAAGTAAATTGCTAAGTCAGTGTGCTCCAAATTCCTTTAGTCCACCAATACATACCACAGCATCAAACCGGTTATGATAAAGTTCTGCCTGGCTCTGCTCAATGTATCGTTGTTTAGCATTAACAAAACCTGGTACTCCTCCATACACCATGCCAAAGACGCCTGCTGTCAATGCCGCCTTACAGATATCAGCAAGTTCTTTTGAAAGTTTCTGCTGTTCACTACAACATCAAAAAGACAATGTTGTTTGGAATTAATTTATGGACATTGCTCTCCAAAAACTCTATAATCAGAATTATCCCAAATGCTAACACTGCATTTTTCATCATAGGCAGAATCCACAGATGAATGAAACAGTTGAGTTATAGTAAAAGGAACATAAGTCTCAGGCAAAACTAAGCTATGCTGTTAGAATTAGGATAGTGGCAACTCCTGAAAAGACAATGACTGGAAAAGGCACAAGGGGAGCTTTTGGGATGTTATAACAGTTGCCATTTCTTCCTGAGTGCTGGGTATAGCTATGTTCGCTTTGTGAAAATTCATTCATCAGTATACTTATAAACATTTTTTCAAATGCATTTCCTACTCCAATAAAAAGTTTTTTTAAAGGTGTTTTTATTTGATGACTATTACACCTATATATTACCCCAATAAACGGGAAAAATTTGTGAGTTGGATAGAGAGACCAATATTTCCCTGTTTAAATTTTAAGCTAACTTTTAGAAATCACACCAACTGGTGACATTTTAGGGCAATGTATGAAAGAATAAAAACGTGGATGTAAGGCAAAAAATCTAAACTCTATATTACTAAATAATTTCATGAAATATTCTGATGGGGTATATTAATAAAAGCATTGGGCTGGGCACAGTGTCACATGCCTGTAGTCACAACTACTTAGGAGGCTTATGCAGGACTTGAGCCCAAGAGTTCAGGTCCAGCATAGCAACACAGCAAAGATCCTGGCTCTAAAAATATAAACAAATGCTTTTTAAAAGACGCACAGGAAAAGTTCACTATGCAGTGGGTGGCACATGCCAATCTAAAGTAACAAGGAAAAGCTACAATTTAATTCAATTTATTACTGTCAAATGCATAAGAAGCTAGAACTGCTAATGGAGCTTCCAAGATGTCATCCTGAAACTGATCTAACAAATAGCTGTCTGAAGTATTAAGTTACTATAAAATAATTGCCCTTCTAGGCCGGACGCAGTCCAGCTGCGATGGCTCACGCCTGTAATCCCAGCACTTCGGGAGGTGGAAGCAGGTAGATTATTTGAGGTCAGGAGTTCGAGTCCAGCGTGGCGAATGTGGTGAAGCCTGTCTCTACTAAAAATACAAAACTTAGCAGGGCGTGGTGGTGGGCACCTGCAATCCCAGCTACTAGGGAGGCTGAGGCAGGAGAATCGCTTGAACCCGGAGATGGAGGCTGCAGTGAGCTGAGATCGAGCCACTGCACTCCAGTCTGGGTGATAGAGACTTGATCTCAAAAAAATCAAAAATAAAAAAGGTACAAGTTTGGGCCGACTCGGTGGCTGACGCCTGTAATCCCAGCACTTTGGGAGGCCAAGGCTGGAGGATTACCTAAGCCCAAGAGTTCAAAACCAGTCTGGCCTACAAGGCACGAACCCTGTCTACAAAAAATATATTTTAAAAAGTTAGCCGGGCGTGGTGGCCCACGCCAGTAGTCCTGGTTACTCTGGAGGTTGGGGTGGGAGGTTCACTCGAGTCTGAGAGGCAAAGGTTGCAGTGAGCAGAGATCGCACCACAGCACTCCAACCTGGGCGACAGAGCAAGACCCTGTCTAAAAAAAAAAAAGAAAAAAAAAAAGACATAAGCTTGGGTTACAATGATCAGAACCCCAAATATAATTTTAAAATGAAACACACTATCCTTGGCGTCCTAAGGCTGACACAGGCTGCCAAGGCTTAAGGACATCGCTTTCGCGGTCCCCCACCCCACCTCAGGCCCTAGGCACTTTTACTCTTTGAGAAACAGCTCCCGGAGGCGGTCCCAGCCGGATTCCGGGTAATGGGGCTCTGGGACGAAGGCAGGCGGCCACTGACGCTCCTCAAGGGCCTCCGAATCAGCAGTCACAGGTTCGGCAGCAAAGACTCGGGGGAAAGGACCCAATGCTCTACAGAGGAAGCTCCGCGATGCCGGTGGCGGCACCTCCATGGCCTTCTCTCGACCTACAGACAGACACGGTGGCGGCACGTCCATGGCCTTCTCTCGACCTACAGTCACACGTGGGCGCTCAGGACTTCAAGTCCTCCCGGACTTGCCGTGGGAGAGCGTACAGTACAAGGTGAGAACCCGTGCATTTGGACAAGGCTAACCCTGGGCCGGACAACTCGACACACACGACTTCAGTCCCGGGCCTGACTTCGGAGTCCTTGTAAACATGAGAGAGGAAGTCCCGCCCGACCGGGGCAAAGGTCAGAGGGCACGGCGACGGCAAAACCGGAGCCCAAAACACTTCCGGTTGAGGGCGGGTAGTGCCCCTGCTGTGCTGAGTCCACCCCCGGAAGTGAGTTGGCTGCTGGAGGTGAAGCTCAGTGTGATCCGGCCAGGTCTTTGCTCCGTGTCTCAGTGGCTCCTGGGTCATACAAACGGAGTCTGCGGCTGGTTACGTTCAGCTCGAGGTGGTAACAGGTTAAAGTAATTTATCGTATTTAAAATGCCAGGAATCCCGCTTAAATGAGGAAGAAAGTGCAATATTCAAGTGCAAGTGGGGTACAGAAAGAGGGAAAGGCGATTTGTGCAAAAACAAGTCCAACCTACTCTGCCGACATTCGAGAAGCCTTCCACACTGGGCGGGGTCCGTTTGTACCTTGTCGGTTTTCTTTCCTAAAAAAACGAGCCATTGGAAATGGGTCTTGGTGCCAGTTACACCAAGATTTCGAGAACACTTTTTTGAAGAATCAGTTTTTTGGCAGGTCTTCATAAGGTAGATTTCACTCCCTTTAGTTCATATGTGTGTACTGCTTCTCAAAAGGCAGGAAAATTTCTGGAATTTCTATCAAGTATTTGATAGTCCAGCAATAATTTCCTGTCACTACCTCTGCAAACATATGCTTCGAAGTATAGTTTTCATTAAAATGAATGCATCTTAAATATTCTCAATATTTGTGTAATTTCATTTAATCCTTGTTAAGAAGCATACTCCCTTACTCACTGGCAATCCCGTCACCTCCTTTATTCCTTTCTAGTTGTAAATCATAATTGCCACACTGTAGTAGTAGTAGTAGTGTGGTAGTGTACAGTAAGTAGACTTACGGAGTTTGATAGCTGGAAATTCTACACATAAGTCCCCAAGAAGTGACTGACTAGAATGACCAGCTGAATTAGTGACAGCTCCATGAAAACTACTCTGGGAGACAAGATTTGATTCAGCACCCATCGTAGCACTTACTATACTGCATCATAATTTCCTATTTGTTAATCTGTCTCAATAAACTATCCTTGAGGTCAGATACCAAATATATTCATCTCTGTACCTCCAGGACCTAGAACCGTAGTAGGTGCTCAGTAAGTATTTGTCGAATGAATAATTCAGATCCCCTGACTTCTGGCTCTGGGTTGCTGCTTATCCCATGTTAGGTAGAGGTGGGCACTAAGATAAGGTACCAAGGCCTGAAAGCCCAAGAAAATGGCTGTACGGTCTGTTTCTAACCTATATGTAGAAAGAGCTAAATGCTTAAGATGACCCCACAATTATTCTGGGATGAGGGAGGACTTGAAATGGGTAGGAGGGTTTGGGTAGGTTGGGAAGGTTGAAATGGGTAGGAGGGTTGGGAGGATACTTACGAAATCCTTTATATACAGCTCAAATGCCCCAGGATTTACTAGCCTGTAGATGAGGTTATATTAACAGGCAAATTTTAAACTCCGTAACTTGTTTCTCCTTTGGGTAACTGAAGACTAATTTGTAAGGTTCCTTTTGCTACTTAATACCTTAAAAAAAAGTCCCCAGTCCTTTGGCTGCTGCTTACACTGTTGCTGCTCTTCCATCTTGAGCCCTCCCACGTTTCCTGCTTCCCCAATCCCTTAGGGCTTCCCTTCTTTTACCATGAGGGAAATACTCACCCTCCTCTGTAGTCTTGCTTTCTTTTTCTTTTCTTTTTTTGGATACAGTCTTAGCTCTGTTGCCCAGGCTGGAGGGCAGTGGCATGATCTTGGCTCCCCACAACCTCTGCCTCCTAAGTTAAAGCAATTCTTGTGTCTCAGCCTCCCAAGTAGCTGGGATTATAGGCATGTGCCACCACTCCCAGCTAATTTTTGTATTTTTAGTAAAGATGGCATTTCACCGTGTTGGCCAGGCTGGTCTTAAACTCTTGGCCTCAAGTGATCTGGCTGCCTAAGCCTTCCAATGTGCTGGGATTACAGGTGTGAGGCACTGTGCCCAGCCCTGTAGTCTGTTCTTTTTGAAGGTTCTCAGATCAACACAGTCTAATCCAGGAGTGTCCAATCTTTTGGCTTTCCTAGGCCACATTGGAAAATGGAGAATTATCTTGGGCCACACATAACACTAAATGTAGCTGATGAGCTAAAAAAAAAAAAAGTTCATGCATACATCTCATGTTTTAAGAATGTTAGCAAATTTGTGTTGGGCCACATTCACTACTTTCCTTGGCCACCTGCAGCTTGTAAGCCATGAGTTGGACATGCTTGGTCTAAGGCAGAAGGTGTTACGGGGTTTACTGGACTGTTTCACACATGGCTGGCTTATTCCCCAGGACTTGTGTTTGCCAGCAGGGAAGGATTTCAGTGCAGTCACCATACTTCTTGGAACACCATTCTTCTACCTTTAGCCCTTGTTGCTGAATTCTGTTTATAGAACCCAGTAGTTTCTTCCTTCATAGTGAATTTTTTCCCCAGGGGTTAGCAGGTTCCCTTTCCTGCCAGGTTCACCAAGTACTGCCCTTGCTACTCTTTTACATTTTGTTACATTATATATAAAACTTTCCCACAGCTAGAGAGAATGAATTTTGAGAACTCCAAAGACCATTTCATTTACTCATCCTTTGTGGTGTAAATTAATTTTTACCTCCACAAAGTTTCCCATCTTCTCCAGTTGGAAGTTTCTTCTTCCTCTAAACTCCAGATCCACATTGTCTTCATGAATAATCGGCACTCCTGTTGCCTTAATCACCTTCCATGTATATCTGATGCCTCTCATATTGTTTATCATCTTAACAACACAGCCCCTTGAGGTTAGGGAGCCTCTTGTAAACTTTCCTTATCTCTGTGCATAGTAGATGCTTAAGAAGTATCTGGCAAGTATTAAATGAGTGACCTGTAAATGTAACTCTGTTCCATCCACAGCATCTTACCTCTGGATGCAGTAAGATTATCCTAAGAGAGGGTATCTTCAGATGCATGTAAAGATAGACTTTTGTGTATCTGTGCTTTCTTTTTTTTTGAAACAGTGTCTCACTCCCATTGCCCAGGTGGGAGTGCAGTGGCTTGATCATGGTTTATTGCAGCCTCAACATCCTGAGCTAAAGCTATCCTCCTGCCTCTTTTTTTTTTTTTTCCTGTAGAGCCAAGGTCTCACCATATTGCCCAGGCTGGTCTTGAACTCCTGGGCACAAGTGATCCTTCTGCCTCAGCCTCCTGAAGAGCTGTGATTACAGGTGTAAGCCATGGTGTCTGGCCTGTTTTTACTCTTGTTTGTAGACAGTGTACAGGTTAAGTGTAGGGAGCTCTTGGAGGTGACTCAAATGAGCCCATTAAATTTTTTGCTCTTGGGAATTTTGGGCTGAGACAGAGCCTAATAGGCAATGGAACTACAGTATAGCAGCACCCTGGAAACAGTCAAAATTATTGCTGAGATTCCTGGAGGTGCCCTTGCTTCTGTCCTTCTGACCACTATGAAATTTGTTTAGATTCCACAAGATGCTCTCATATCCTTCTAGCAAGTTACTTTGCTTAAACTAGCTAGAGGCAGTTTCTGTTCTTGACAACTAGGAAAATCTGACTGGATAGAGTAGAATAAGGTGAGTCACTGACAGCACATAGATAACACTCCCAAAATAAAGAAAGAAAAAGCATTATTTGTGTTATCCAAGTATCCTGTTTCATTCAAATAAACTATTCTTTCCTTGATAAAAAGCATGGCCATTAGCTCTCTGAAAAGGAAAGGGTAAATTTGGGACTGAATTAGTAATAATGACAACAAATAAAACCTTCAAAAGTCGTGGGGAAACAAATTATTTTCAAAAACAAACATTTTACATAGTTACACACCATCCTCATATCATGTACACTGAGGTAAACAGACAAGTACAAAATCTGAATAACATTTGTTATATTTAAAGACAAAGATCCCTTATTGGTTCTTCAAAGGGCAGGTGAGGATTTACATGGATCCAGTTCTTACAGTCTTATCTAATCATCCTTTGAAGCCAGTAACAATCTGTATATAGGATCTAGTTAAGCCAACTGTCTCCATTCCTCCATCTGTCCACCCACCCAACAGTTATTTGGGATCTACTCTATGTGAGGCACTGTGCTGGATCATGGAGACATCAAGATGAGTAAAACTAGATTCTCACATGTTAATAAGCTCACAGAACAGTAGGAGAAACAGTCAAGCAATTACAGTGATGGCATAAAATACAGACATAAGCAAAGTACTATGGTAGCCCCTAACTGCCTTGAGGAATGAATGAAAGGAGTCAGAAAGAAGGTGATGTTTGAGCTGCAACTTGAAGCTAAATGGGGAACATCCCAGGGAAATGAATCTTCAGCTCCTAATCTAAAAGATAGAAGATTTTGTTTCTATTTTAATGAGAGGAAATTAAAACACAGAGAGAATGATTACACCTAGTAGGACCTCATAGTGATCAGGCAAAACCATAGTACAACTCAGCAATCTGGACTGCCTATTGCTAGACTTATAGCACCTAAGAACACGGTCCCTTTGCATTGCTAGTACTCGGAAAAAAAAAATCCAACTTTAAACATCTTCTTATTCCATGAAATGATCTTACCAGGGATGTTCAACTTCTCTAAAAAGGTCATTAGACTTAAAATTTTGTGGAAAGAAGTTTAAAAAGCCAAATACATTGCTGACAAATGGAATGTCTGATTTTATGTGACTGAATCTCAAATTTACTAATTCTGAAACTAGTAAATACCAAATAGTTCTTAAGAGACAAAGGAAGAGAGGTGATTTCTCTGTGGAAAGGTTGGGCCTAAGAGTCAAGGATAGTTCTAAGTCATCAGACTCCAGAGCTTTAATCTCAACATTTTTCTTCATGTTAGAGAGGTTAAACTACTACCCAAAATGTCTTTTTAAAAAAATGAAAAAGGAGTCACTCCAATATGGATTTGTACTAAAACAAATATCTTCTATATATTTGAAGGTGAATGCTCTAAACTACCAACTGAATGGCACGTTTACATACGAAGACTCCTTGTGGTTCCTGCAAGACAGAGTGTCAATGACCCCTGCGGTGATCAACTTAAGAAGGAAAAATATTAAAGGTGTGCAAAGGGTGCGGAGGAGCTGCTGCTCTATATATAGTTCTATTAAAGAATGAGGAATACTTCCTAAATTTATTAAGAGGCATTTGTCTTTTTTTTTTTTCTTTAGAGAGACATTAAGAAGTAGGGCATGAAGGCACAAAAAGGGAACCTGAAATCCAATTGCAATAATTACTTATGCAATTGACCTCTTTCTGGGGCATTATAGAAACCTCCTGAGTAACAGAGTTTATGCTTTTACAAAAGAGAACTCCTACATCATTGTGTGGCATGGCTACCGCTTCCTTAGACAGTTCAGAGAATGATCCCCAAGTATTATTCATAAACCCCATAGGGTTTCCTCCATTAAAATAAAGCGACAGAGAATCATGCCTAGAATAATTTCACAATTTCAGCAATGAGTTGTACTACTTCCAAATGATGAATTTTCTGCTCCAAATAATGGGACAAAGGGCATCATCATATGGACACAGTCAATTTCACAGTGATGGACACACACAGATGGATGACCTGAGGCACAAGCAGTGATTGGTCTTAAGAAAATGAAAGGTAGAGTTGCATTCAAAATCCACATCTCATGATTTCTGGTCCTTATTCATCCAAAAATTGATTAGACACAGTGGATTAGACACATTTTAAATCTTTCTCAAGAACTGCTTCGAGTGCAGCATGATAAGGAAAATCAGGTATTTGGCTTGGTAACAGGTATTCAAGATATGGGTGCCCAGCTTATGGTAAGCTTCTCACCATAGGATATCTGAGGTCTGTTGCTACAGAGAGGACTGTGGTCCTATGATGACTACTATAGTTCAGTTTTCAACATTTTGGGAATAATCTGATCATAACCTTTCCTTCTTGTTACATTGTAAGACAAGAATTTAGAGTATTCAGTCAAGAGGTTCTCCCAGTAACAGGTGATGTCATCCATCTGCAAGTGGTTCCTAATAAACTGGCTTCCCCTAGAGACAAGATTTAAGAGGAAAATGTTAAAGCACAAAATTGAATAATAATAACAGTCTACATTTGAGTGCTTACCTTGTGCCAAGCATTATTCAGAGTATTTTATATAAATTAATTCATTTAAGCCTCAAGAACCAACCCTCTGGCAATCACATCCACATACATGCATGTAGCAATAGAACTTAACCTCTTTTTTCTTTAAAAGAAGCATATAAACAGCCAATGTTCATAAAAAGTACCTGTTTACCTCAAAGATTTCAGTCCACCCCTATAAAGCTTGGCACAGGTAGGCATGTGTATGTTTTCCCCCAGGACAGCTTTAGTTCTGAATTATCTCCATATAATGAGGATGAAATGCAGATATCACCATGGTAACAATATTCAGATAACTTTAGCTAGGGCATAATGGGGATGATAAAGTGGAAAGAGAAAATGAACAGAACTCACCTTTCAGCAATCTCTTGAGCTACATCATCATTTGCCTTTACAAATTGTAACAGCTCTCTAAAATGAAAAGAATTATTAGACTCTGAAATACAGACCAACCTCATTAGCATGAAGTCAGAAAGACCATATAGATTGAGGTCTACAGATAATTTTAGATATGTGGATGGTGGGTTATTTCTTTAAAGCAAAGGTATCAGGGTCCTCTCAAGAACAAAATAATAACAAAAAAAGCTCACATTCTGATTAAAGGCAGCCTATTGTAGATTTGGGGCATATTTGAGAAAATACAGAAGTTATTCTCTCTCTATATATATTTCACTATATTTGTATATATAAAGAGTGAAATATAATTTCCATCCTTGTCTCCAAATTCTTGCTCTGGGCACCAGAAGAGTGAAGTAGGTTCACATTTCTGGCCCTTCTCTCTACCTCTTCCTAGCTCCTCCCATCATGACAGGAAATTTGCCTAAGCTTCACTTGAGTCAATTCTCATGCTGTATCTGAAAATCCTTTTGACAATATAATAAGATTGAATATCCCTATCTTTAGTCTTTGAGAGATTAGAGCTTTTTCACTTCATTTTGTCTGAATGTTTCATTTGAAACCAGTATTAAAGCACTTTTTCAAATTAAATTCCACTTATAGCCTACTTGGATAATAATGCCATACTATATGTGCAAACCAAGGGGAAAAAAAGCTTTCAGTGGAAAAAAATCATAGGACTAAATGTCTTACATGACTGGATTTAAGGCATTTACATAGTTATTGAATTTTTTTTAAAGCAGATTGCAAGGGTCTTTAGAAAGTCTTCATTGGGGAATAATTGCTTACTGGACATTGGAGAGATCTGTTTTGACTGGGATATAGTGAACCCATGGCTTCAGTTGTGGATAGAAGAACTCTAGCCACTCATCACCAACATGGAAAACAAGTGAACCACACAGGAAGAGATGTTTAAACCGGAAACTTGCAGCTACACCCCGAAAATTAAACAGATACCTGGGGAAAAACGAACAAAATACATTTGATACTGTATGTCTGCTGCCATAAATACTACCTTTTATGCTTAATCTCTCCTCCCCTTCTTTCCTTTTATCATTCCTCTCCATTCTCTTTCCATTTTGAGTTTTCAAAGACACATTAGTATGTTCCTAACAGGATTCGATCAATTCCTTGCTTTACTAGGGTTAGGACTACAGGTTGCTCTGGGAATGTCAGAGTGATGAAAAATAGGGGATATTTTCTCTAGACAGATCTAGATAGGGTCAGGAGCTGGGTGCCGGGTAGAGTGGATACAGGGCTCAGAAGGAAATGACAGCTTGTTGTAAATTTGGAACATATTTGAGAAAATAAATGTTCAATGGTAAACATAAAATATAATGAGTGAAAAAAATTTCACAAGCCTTTCTAAGCCTAATGTCTCTAACTAGTCATAGCCTCCCAAAGCCTTATATTTCCTCTAGTGTACTCCATCTGGTCAAAGGTCTCCACTGCTTCCTGGACATCACCTTCTTCTCTTGTAGAGTAGTGGTCCCCAACCAGTTTCATGGGAGACATTTTTTCCATGGATGGGCAGTGTGGGGAGATGGTTTTGGATGAAACTGTTCCACCTCAGATCATCAAGCATTAGTTAGATTCTCATAAGGAGCACGCAACCTAGATCCCTTGCATGCGCAGTTCACAATATGGTTTGTGCTTCTTTGAGAATCTAATGCCAAGGCTGATCTGACAGAAGGCAGAGCTCGGGCGGTAATGCTAGCTTGCCCAATGCCTAACAGACCAGTACCATGGCTCGGGGGTTGGGAACCTCTGATATGCAGAGGAGAATGATGAAAACCTAATCAATTTTCAAAGAAATGCCCATGGGGGTGGGGGGAAGCTGTCTTCTCAGCATTTCTTATGCATGCTTCTGTCTCCAAGCAGAGTTGCTTTTATCATGTAGTTGCTACTCTGTGTGTCACTGGCACTCTTATCTCTGAGTCACCCCCACCACCACTGTCCTCCTCTAGACCTGGTTTTACCTGTTCATCTAATTCTTAGTCCCAGAATTTTATTTTATTTCTCTTAGAGACAGGATCTCACTATGTAGCCCAGGCTGGTTTTGAACTCTTGGGCTCAAAGGATCCTCCTACCTCAGCCTTCCAAGTAGCAAAGACTACAGGACCATGCCACCATACCAGGATAATAATTCTAATATTTATTAATCAGAGAAATATTTATTCTAACTTCAACTATTGGGTGGGTGGGACATATGGAGAGGTAATTCCATTACTGTGATTACTAGCACGCAGCTGTGTGGAAGCAGGAAAAATGTTCTGTTCTTCTCTACAGTCCCTGCAGAACTCGGGTCAGTGCACATAGGCCCTCAGGAAAAGCCAATGAAATGAATTAGTGCAACTTTCATACACTGCAGCTGGGCCTTTATATTAAAGTTCTCACCCAAAGTGAAGCTATTTCAAAAGCAATATGGAAACCAAGAGAGTCAGGAGTCCTGGAAATCTTACTTGTATTTGCAGTGATCCACAAGATGGACATCCTTAGCAGCAGGCTTTCCTAAGGTATCCTTTAATTGGAAAGGACATTATTAGTATTAGCAGCAACAGCATTTATTGGTGATCATTGCGCAGCAAGCATTGTTAAACATTTTATCAGCATTACCTCATTTAAGCTTCATAATCAATATACACAGGAGACATTATTATTTCCATTACATAAATGCAGAAGCTAAGGCTCAAAATGTGGCTCTAAATAGATGAGCCAGGGTTTTATCCAGGGCCCGGTCTGATTTTAGAGTTTAAGTTCACCTAAAGCCATGTTGCCCTCCTTTGAATTCATATGTCACAGTCTGCAGCACACTTCCCTTTGTGTAACTTATGTATGCAGAGAAGGTCCCAAGTGCTAGCTGATGGTCTTAGGGATGTATATAGCCCATGCTCAAATTTGGGCATACGAAGTATTTTTTAAAAAGTCAAATCATTGCCAACATTTATAGGTGGTAGGATACTTGCAAAAATCCAGATTTCCAAACTTTCTTGGAGAATAAAAAGGAAGATCTGGCAAACTGGGCTCTTATTAACATTTGGAACTGTTATTACTCTCTCTTGCTCACCCCTTGACATCATCTGCTGGCCCCTGGGGACATCTGAGTTTGATCCCCATGTACAATCCATCCACCTTAGCACATGGTAGACTCCTTGATGAGGGAACAAGTTTTGTTTGCTTCTGTAGCCTCCCACAGTAGATGCTAATAACCTGTGTTCTGAATGAATACATTTTTCATATTTTTATTATTTAACAGTTTCTTAAGCTCACTTGCCTCTGTCTGATTAAAACTGCGTGAAATCATACACGCACCTCAGATTTACTTAGTTTTCTCCCAGGAAGTCTAAAGCTTTTTCTCATAGCATCCTCATATAGGGTATGGAAATTTAATATGAAGAAATTTAGGACTTTAATTTCTTTGATTAAGGCAAAAAGCCATGGGGCATTAAGAGGAGAGAGTGGACTGTAAACCATGGATCCCATGTTTGGCTTCACCTTAGAATCACTTGAAAAGTTGTAAAGAAATGAAGATTCCTAGACACCATCCCCAGAGATCCTGATTCAATTTTAAGCTCTCTGGTTGTATTGCACAGCCAGGGTTGAGACCATTGATTTAAACCAGGGGTTGGCAAACTACAACCCACAGGCCAAATCTGACCCACTGCTTGTTTTTGTTACAGACCAATAAATGTTTACATTTCAAATGGTTAAAAAAAGGCAAAAGAAGAATATCTTATGACAACTTAAAATTACATGAAATTCAAATTTCACTGCCCATAAATAAAGTTTTTATAAGAACACTGCCAGGCTCATTCATTTACAAACTGCCTATGGCTGCTTTCATACTGCTGTTAGCAACTACAACAGAGACCATACAACCTGCAAAACCTACAATATTTACTATTTGGCCCTTTCTGGGAAAAGGGTGTGACCCCTGGTTTAAATCTTCAAAGTAGTGTAATATACTAGTCATAATATGGCCAGAAAAGCAATGTAAGTTTGAAAAAGGAGAATTTACATATATGCTAATGCTGGTTCATAGAACTTTCTCTACATTCACCTCACCACTGAGAGGAAACCTAATCTCAAATTCTACTCAGGTGGCAATGTTCTTTGAGTGAGAATGTTCACTGCTGTAGTTCTAGTCAGATGACTGGTGATTACTTTCATAGATTTCCAGGCCTGGTTTTTGGTGTATTCTGCATCAACAAGTTTCGGATTTTTCCGAGACAGAAGAATGAGAGGATCTCGTTCTGGACTTGTCCTATAAAAGAAACACGTGACATAAAACTGTGTGGCCTATATTAGAATACTGTTCCCAATCCCTAAAAGATGAGCGGAACTAGGACCCTGTGGAATGCCTCTGCACAAATGGACAATTCACTGGTGTCGAGACAGCAGAGGAAGATGCTGAGTACCGCAGCATCTAGATCGTTCAGAGCTAGTCCCCTCTCTACCTTTAGGGCTGGATTGCTTGGCTCTTCTTTGCTTGCATTTGGTCTTAAAGGGTATGTTGTTTGGGTCACTATAGTCAAATCCCAGGGAATGATTTTCCTTTTAGGAAAGTTCATGTAGCTTCTATAATCACTGGTGCTCCTAACTGTGAGACTTGGTAGTCAGCACTCACCAAAACAGCTGCATGACTTTTGTTATGTATGTTCTGTACAGTCCAATATAATATTCAATTTATAAAAAAATGCACAAAAACTAAAGGGCTTAAAAACCTGATGACTATATGTGGAAAAATTTCTAGTGATTTTCCAAGTAGCAGAGGGTCTTGACATGTGAGACATCATGGATTCCTGGATAATCTGTTCAGAACTATGAACCAACTCCCTCTCCTTTCCAGAAAAATGTATATATCCCCACATAATTTCCTAAAACTCTTGAAGTCCAGACATGATCCTCAAGTTAATCTGTGACCTCAAGATTTAAGAATCAGAGAAGTTAATAAGAAACAGGACATAGTGGCTGGTTAATCCATTTACATCCTAAAGTCTATCTGCCAAGTGAAGAGGAGGATGAAGAGAGAGTATAATCTCTGGCAAGGACTCACTTGCTAAAACTACGAAACCCTTCTCCCTTTACAGCCTTTTCTATTCATCTGCTCCACAGATATTTATTGCACATCTACATGCCAGGAACTGTTCTTGGCACTGGGAATATGGAGCTGAACAACACAGGGGCCTCCTACTACCTTTGCCATGTTTCTCTTCTCTTTCCTCCCTGCTCCCATCTTCATTTTCAGCAGTCTCAGTCTGTTCTCCTAACGACTATATGGCAGCTGCATGGTCTGATAAAAAAGGCAGTCAAGAGATGTGATGAGTCCTGCTCCGCATTAACCAACAGAGTGACCGTGGCATGATCATAAGCTACTCCTAGGGACTGTAAGACACTCATCTGTTCTGTTTGACATTACACAATCAATGCCAGACACATTTGTGACACTATGTAAAATATCTGTTAGAGGACTGAAATGGATGAACTTTACTTCTATGAAGATCAACTCAATCAATGGCAATTTGGTCAAATAATTTGAATTATTCTCAAATCTAAAATTGGGACTCCACATTTCTTTCTTGGTTACCTTAGCTTTCCCTTTGAACTACAGAGTTTGTCATACCCTCATGATTACTTACATTTTATATTACTTGGAAGAATATCTTTGTAAAATGTCAAAAAGTAACTCACCTCGATCCTCGGAAATATGCTGTAGAGTTTTTCTTCTTCCATGGCCACTGTGCTGCTGACCTAAGAATACAGAATTTAATTCGTTTCAATATATCTTTTTCAACTATGTAAGAATGCGCTTTAACCATTTCTGGAGATTATTTCTGAGCTTTATATTTCTAAATAAGTCTGATCAAAGCTACTTAAAAGAAAAATCCCTAAAAGACACTTTGTTTCCTTTTGCTATCATTTCATTGCTCTGGAGGTGCTACCCAGTTATATCTACAATCTACTCCCTATTAACAAGTTAACAACATTGAAAGAAAAGCCCCCAAACCCTGAAGGTCACGATTAGGTCGGTTTATAATTTGGCAAATGTGGATTTCCTCTATACTTTAAGTAGGGTGCTATTGATGAAATTAATTATGTAAACAGAACTGGAAAAAAAAGGGCATCAGAAATTAAAACGGAAATCACTCTCTGATTTTGTGTTTTCAATAGGTGGAAAGTGTCATCAGATTTAGTCTGATATTTGGAAAGCAACCTGGTATTCTCAAAGCCGGACAAAGTAGTGTATAAAGATAAAGTCCTTGAAACTCAGGTCTCAGTACACATTACTATGACCAGCCTTCCTTGCTGAAAGTGCTAGCTCACAGATGCATCATGCTTAACTTTCTTTGTATAAACCCTCCCTGCACAGAAGTCTGCACAGCATCTTCCTCTGCAAGAGGGGAAGGCTGAACTGAAGTTAATGAGGGATTGGTGGGCTGTATTACGGTAATGGAGAAACTTAGGATATAAACTTTCTAGGCATAGGTCCTTTTCAGATACATATAATGTCACACTGCCCATTTTTCCTAAGCTGAGAATGCTGCTCAGTATTTTCCAGGACCTCAGACCTCCACCCTCAGCCAATCTGGCTCATCCTCTGGCCCTCTCTGGCTGGATCACCTTTACCTGATTCTACAGTCTAAGGCCAGAACTATTTGGTTTTTCCCCATACTTCTTCCTCCCCAAACAGAAACACTATAGCACTGGATTTTTTTTGTTGTATTTTTAGTGGAAAATGTTCCATGCTCCTCATGCAAAGTTCTCATGAAAAAGCATAAAGATTAAAGTAAAAAATCATCTGGAATCTCCCTATCCACAGGTAACACTGTAACATTTTAGCCAAGAATTTCCTCGCAATCATTTCTTCCTATTTCAAAATACTGAGCGGAATTCTCAGCTGAGTGAAAATGAGCAGTGTGACATTATATGTATCTGAAAAGGAACTATGCCTAGAAAGTTTATATCCTGCCGGGTGCGGTGGCTCATGCCTATAATCTCAGCACTTTGGGAGGCTGAGGCAGGTGGATCACAAGGTCAAGAGATGGATACCATCCTGGTCAACAAGGTGAAACCCCGTCTCTACTAAAAATACAATAATTAGCTGGGCATGGTGGTGCGCGCCTGTAGTCCCAGCTGCTCGGGAAGCTGAGGCAGGAGAATTGCTTGAACCCAGAAGGCAGAGGTTGCGGTGAGCCAAGGTCATGCCATTGCACTCCAGCCTGGGTAACAACAGCGAAACTCCATCTCAAAAAAAAAAAAAAGAAAGTTTATATCCTAAGTTTCTCCATTACCTCCAGTAGCTTTCAACTGGGGGTAATTTTGCCCATCCCTTCCACCCAGGGGATATTTGGCCATGTCTGTAGACGTTGTTACTACTAGGGGACTGCTATTGGCATTTATTGGGTAAAGATCAGAGATGCTGATAAACAATCCTATAGTAGACAGCTCCCATGACAAAGAATTATCCAGCCCCAAATGTCAGCAGCACTGAGAAAGTTTGCTGCTGTGAAGTTTGCTGCTAACCATGTAACAGAGGTCATACCATACATACCATTAGGTAACATTTTTAATAGGAAATATAAATAATAATAACAGCCAACATCCATATAGCACTTTACTATGTTACAGACATTGTTCTAAGTGCTTTATATATATCAAATCATTCTCACACTCTTTAAGAGGTAGGTTTTATCATCCCTATTTTACAAATGAGGTCCTTCAGAGGTTAAGCAACTTGCCAGAGTCATGCAGCTGATAAGAGCCAGGAATTGAACCCAGAGTTTTTAACCCTACACTGCCTTTCCATTCATGCACAATATTCCATTTTATAATCTCTGGCAAAGACTCACTGCAAACATTCCATTTTATAGTCATGCTTTGATTTACTTCATCCTTTATTGATGGGCTTTTAGGTGTTGTCTAACTTTCTGCTCTAAGAAACAACATGGTAGTAAACATCCTTGTACACACATCTTTGCACACTTGTCTAATTAATTCCTTACAATACATTCTAGATGTGAAACAGCTGGGTTAAAGGATACACAGTATACATTTCCAATTCTGATACATATTGTCAAACTACCTAACAAAAATGTATCAATTTACACTCAAAGTTACTATTTCCTTGGTCCCTGGGAAAGTTGTGTTTAATATACACAGACCCAAACTGTGTATCACTGTTTTCTCTCTCTTTCGTTATCCTAACCTACCCATCATCCTTCAAAATACCTAGGCTAGGACTTGTTTCCCCAGGCAAGTGCTAACAGTGGCCACCAAGCCTGGTGCTACTCCAGCCCTCTTTTTTAAACCCTCTCTGACAGCAGCAAACGAAATCTTTAAATCTGTAGAGAACATGAATTCTCCTACAGAGTGAAATATAAGTCAGTGGGCACAAACTCCCAAAATATTAGAAAAATAGACTGAAGAGTGGCAGGCAAACATCAATGCAGATAAACAAGCAGATTATTAAATTTTCAAAGTAATAAATGAACATCACTAGAGATTCTAATGGAGGGTTCCAAAAAAAAAATTGCAATTCTATAACCACGAATAAATACAATTGAATAAAATGGGAAGGTATCAAAAGAAAAAAGTATTTATATAATATTAGGCTTTAAAACATTCTATCTGCCTAAAAATTGCTTACTAGTTTACAAGGGGGAAATGTTATCAATAACTACACAGTGGAGTAACTGGATAACACCTGACCCCAGGAGTTTGGGTCCGGCCTGGGCAACATAGTGAGATCCTGCCTCTTAAATAAATAAATATTATATAAATAAATAAATTGATGTGTCTGTTTCATATGTACTGACATGGAAAGATTACTTATATATACCAATAAGTTGGGGGGAAAGTTGCCTAAGGTTGAATTTGTAAAATTTTATGAGCATACATAGGCTTCATAGTAAAAATGTTTTCGAAGATTTTAAAAACAAGGCAGCTGCATGGCAGGTGGGAAAAGAGCTACAAAAAGAAGAATGTGAAAAGGCTATTTACAAGCACCTGAGGGAAATTAAAAAAAAAAAAAGGATTAGAAAACTAAGGCCAAGAATAACTTAGGGGAAAAAAAATTTTAAACCTTTTTTTCAGCTAAGTGTGGTGGCTCATGCCTGTAATCCCGGCACTTTGGGAGGTCAAGGCGGGAGGATCACTTGAGCCCGGGAGTTTGAGATCAGCCTAGGAAACATAGCAAGACCTTATCTCCACAAAAAATTTCAAAAAACAACCAACCAAAACCAACCAAAACCACACCCTTTTTTCCCCCTCTCTGAAAATTATGTTCAAAACCTCAAAATGACAGTCTCAGTGTCAGGAAAACACAAGGAATATTAAGTGGTAAAGTAAGCCGGATAATGCACTTGAAAACCGGAACTTCAGGCCTGGATTTGCTTCTGACCTTGACCAGGTCACTAAACCTTTCTGGGCCTTTATTCCCTTATCCCGGGAATAAAGGGCTGGACAAAGACAATTTTTAGTTCCAGTTCTGTAAAATCTGAGACTAAGTTGTTATTTTAAAAATTTTCCAAATTATACCCACTGGAGAAGTTTGTTTTCTAACAAAGGGCTCTTCCTGCCACTGAGGACTGCAGCCCTGTATGTTTCTTCAGGAAGGGAGCATTCCCTTACCTCTTTGAATTTTCAGCTGCATTTAGTAGATGTGATGGGTATTTATGGGAACAAGGTTGAATTATTTGCTTTCCTTATACCTGAGGGAAGACCTATAATGACTGTGTTTCTGAAAGTTTCTTAATTAAGCACCAAAGTTGTTTGAATCATCATGTAAAATGTAGCTGGGTAAGAAATACCTACAGCTTGGATGAGCTACACAATCTAAATTCTGAAATGATAGCAGAATGGAGTCAACAGGCCAAGGCACGTCTGTCATGAATCAGAGAGAATCTGGAATAAGCTTATACCTGAGATTCTTATGGGGCATTTATGATCCTTCAGTCCTGCCTAAAGAACTTGGCTCTCAATTGCCACGTATGTTTATGTTCTTCCAAATAATTTTCTATCCTCCCCTGTGACACCGTCATTCATTTTTTTCTTATTATGAAAGTAATTCACTCTTATTTAAAGACTCTTAAATATAAAAAAATTTAAAATAGAAAACAAGTCTCTGATAATCCCTCCCAGAGAGGCATTGCTGATAGTTTAGGATAGGTTATTCTGCCCTTTCTATGGATAATGTAAATATTTTTAGACACATACCAAATTGTTTATGCTACTGTTTGCTGTCTTTAATTTTTAACTTAAAAATTAGTCATTTAAAAGTAAATAATTGGTTATATTCTATGGCTTATTTCAAGAAAACCCAGAAAGAGGAAAAAATAAAACCTCTTTAAAGGACCTACCTCACCAGATCTTCTCTGAAGAGGTCCCACCGTCCAAGACCTGTAGGATAAATTGGCCAAACAGCAGGTCCCCCTTCCCAAAATGTCCAAGCAGGATACATGATATCATGGTACTCTGATGTCTTCAACAAAAACAGACAGGTCATTCTAAATCAGTCTTGGAACAGAGTGAAAAGAGGCAACTGCAATCATGCCACAGGATCTGGACAGCCTTGGTTTAGTGTCATATTGCCAAAGATATATTTTCCCTATTCTGCAAAGTCTAGCCTGTAGACATTAAAAGGCAAAAGTGATCATGGATTAGAAGTCATGGGCTCACTGAAGTCTAGAATTTAGAATCACAAATTAAAGGTCAACTTTTTCAGTTCCCCCACATCCTGTTTTTCTAGAAGATGTATACTGTTAAGGTTTTCAATTTAAGGAAACACTATTCCCAACTCTAAATAATCACAGAGCTCTCTCATTGTTTAACTCTTACACTTAGAGTTCACACTGTCTTACCAGTTTTTTGTTATTTCCCAGTGGGTTTTTTTTTTTTTTTTTTTTTTTTTGAGAGTAGGAGCCAAGAAATACAGTGCAATGGTTAAGACTGTGGGCTGTAGAGGCAGATCATTGCTGACTCCACCTCTCTACAGCTCTAGCAAGTTACTGAATGGTTCTATACCTCAGCTTCCTTATCATTGTAATGAGGGAAACAATAATATCAATAATATGATCTACCTAAAAGGCTTATTTTGAATATTAAATTAGTTGATAAATCTTAGAACAGTATCTGGCACATTGTACGCACTTGATAAATATTAGCTAGTGTTATCTCATGCTGTGGGCTCACATTGGTTGGTTATTCATTGATCAGGGTCAGAAGTATGGATGAGCAGAATGAGAGGAAGGGATGTTATCATATATCTTTTGAAAGAAGTTTGAGGCCTGGCACAGTGGCTCATTGCCTATAATCCCAGCACTTTGGGAGGCTGAGGGGGGTGGATCACCTGATGAGACCAGCCTGATCAACATGATAAAACCCTGTTTCTACTGAAAAATACACAAAATAAATTAGCTGGGTGTGGTGGCAGGCACCATAGTCCCAGCTGCTCGGGAGGCTGAGGCAGAGAATTGCTTGAACCCAGGAGACGGATGTTGCAGTGAGCTGAGATTGTGCCACTGCACTCCAGCCTGGGACAGAGAGAGACTCTGTCTCAAAAAAAAAAAAAAAAGAAAAGTTTGAAACCATTTGTTCGTTTTTAGAGTTACTTCTGTTAAAAATTTGGCCACTGATAAACCTGTAACTCTACTGTTTCTTCCACTGGAAATACATGTGCAATATGCTGTTTACTTTCTCTCAAATATGTAAAAAATGATGTGATTCATCAAGCACCTTCAACATGACAACTATTCAACAGAAGCTGCACAATTAACTATAAAGTTGACAGAGTAAAACCCTCCCTTGGAAACTAGAAGTCACTGATTTAAAAAACAGGAGGGAAGTAAAGATGAACAGAAAGTTGGTAGACCTGTGGTCATACTCTATTATCCACAGAAACAATAGATAGATACCAAACATGAAGTCCCTACTGCCTTACATGGAAGCCTCTATCTATGTTTCCGGGTGAGTTTCAGAACAAACAATGGAACCAAGCACTTTTGAGAATGAAGCTAGACATGGGAAATGCAGCACAAATGTGGCCTCTGCCCACTTGCAACACAGGAAATAAAACAAGTCTAGGGGGAAAGTAAACTATTATAAAGAAGAAGTGGGGCTGAAAGTTCCCTCTGCTTTGGACAAACCAAATCAGAGATAGTGTTCATTCTCCCAAATTCCATGGGGTTTTCCTCAGTTTACTCTTACCCCATAGAATTTTCCATTCACTCTATTCCAGCCTCTCCACCACACCCCTGAATACTTTCCTTGTTTTTGGGGAACCAATGCCTATCCCTTCCAATACAACATGTACATGAACCTGAGCACTGACAAGATATTCCTTGCCCCCAATTCCCCAAGCCCACAGGTGTGTTCTAGCTACTTCAGTCTTCCATGATGAGTTTAGAAGATCACCCCCTTGCATAGCCTCTAGGCTATCTCAGGCCTATCCTTCCTATGCAATGTTTGCACACAACCCGTGTGGAGTTATTGAGCACCTTCAGGTTCACTTTTAGCCATGCCAGGCCCCTGGAATATGGCGACAGATGAAACAGATGATACCCAGCACTATGGCTGACTATATACATAGGAGTAGCTCAAAAAACGTTTTTTTGTTGTTTGGTTTTTTTTTTGAGACGGAGTTTCGCTCTTGTTACCCAGGCTGCAGTGCAAATGGCATGATCTCGGCTCACCGCAATCTCCGCCTCCTGGGTTCAAGCAATTCTCTTGCCTCAGCCTCCCGAGTAGCTGGGACTACAGGCATGTGCCACCATGCCCAGCTAATTTTTGTACTTTTAGTAGAGACAGTGTTTCACCTTGTTGACCAGGATGGTCTCAATCTCTTGATCTCATAGTCCACCCGCCTCGGCCTCCCAAAGTGCTGGGATTATAGGCGTGAACCACCACGCCTGGCTCAAAAAACATTTTTTGAATGAAGGTATTCCCTAACTCTAAGCTTTCTTGAACTCTTTCCTTCTATGCTCTATAGGATCTTTGAGTCCCACCTCTAATTCCTGTAGGTTTCTCAGGGCTCTCACACCCTAGCCTCCATCCCTAGCCTTAAAGAGACTCAACCAATGTTATATGACTTACCAGTTCTCAACTCCATCTCCTCTTTTGCTCAATCACTGTGATGCTAACAGAGACACAGACCTATTTCCGGACCTCAGTCCTCATCCTTACCATTACCCATCAAACTATATCACAGGACAATGATTTCATGCTCACATCCTAGAGGACCACCCTCCATTCCCTCTTGTGGCTCTCCCTGTACTTACCTTACTGAAGGAGAAGACTGGGATGGCAGGTTCCATCCATTTAGGAACCTGAGGATAATCTCGTACATTGATCACCATCTCCATGTCAGGGAGACGCCTGATCACTTCCAAAATAAAGTGCTCAACACCACTACACCTGTCAATGAGAGATACCATAAATTCAGCAGAGCAGTGCCTGCAGGCTCTAGGACAAGGTGAGGTACCCTTCACATTTTAAAGTAAGACAAGGCAGTGTTCCAAATCATAAGCCTATTGCAAAGTCTTCTGAAAGCAATGCTTTTACAGGGGCTATTCTGCTTTTTTATATTGTGCAAGTTCACTCCTAGTTAAGCTGCTCCAGCTTACAATACTTAATAAAATTTTCCAAATAAATCATCATAGCTTTGAAGGGAATACTATTGCTATTTCTACCACTTTATTCATTCCAGTTCTTTTTTTTAAATTTCCCTTTTATGGTATAGTTTAATTAGCAGACAAGATACAAACTCTTGTAGCAGCTGAAATAGCAAATTTTCTAACTGTGTTTCTTTGGCTTTGCTTCTCACTAAGACACCATTTTTATTTCCATTGTAATTAAGTCTCCTAGTTTATGAGAACAAATAGAAAACCTTTCATTACTTTCAACCTGAATAAAGAACAATATCAAAATCAGTTCTGCAAGCCAGAAAATCTGTTATATACATAATCATAAATACTGTAACATAGCTTTATGACTAGATTCCCTAGAAATCCTCAGAGGATTTCTTGAAAGAAAAAGATACACTGACAGTTTAGCTTGTTTCTGCCTCATCCTTTGAGGTCCTGACCAGCACTATGCTAGGGGCAGCTTGATCAAAATTTTCTAGCAGCATGGAAATGACTGATTTAAAATAATGTCTTACTACTTGGGAAGCTTAGGCAGGAGGGTTCTTTGAGCCCAAAAGTTCTAGACCAGCAACATAGTAACATAGTGATACAGTAGGCAATGTAGTGAGATGCCCTAGCCAAAAAAAAAAAAAAGTTTTATATATAGAGAGACAACTGCAAAAAATATCAATGGTTCACAAACATAGGAAAAGATGTTCAACTGTATTATTAATAAAGAACTATTATCTTGGCACTTGTGGAGGTCGAGGTGGGCAGATCATGAGGTAAGGATACCGAGACCATTCTGGCCAACATGGTGGAACCCCGTCTCTATTAAAAATACAAAAATTAGCTGGGTGTGGTGGTACACACCTGTAGTACCAGCTACTCGGGAGGCTGAGGCAGGAGAATCACTTGAACCCGGGAGGCAGATGTTGCAGTGAGCTGAAATTGCACCACTGCACTTCAGCATGATGACAGAGCAAGACTCCATCTCAAAAAAAAAAAAAAAGAAAAGAAAAAGAAATATCAATGATGCTAGATACCAATTTTACCAATCAGATTGGCAAAGATCAAAAAGTCTGACAGTGCACAGTGTTGGTGAGGGTGTGAGCTCTATTCACAGCATGTGATATAAGGGTTGTGGAAGTGGTTAGCCTCTTTGTAGGACAATTTGCTTCTCTTTACCAAGATTTCTCCTTTTCTTTTTTGAGTCAGGGTCTTGCTCTGCCCCCCAGGCTGGAGTGTGCAATGGCATGATCATGGCTCACTGTAGTCTCAAGCTGCTAGGCTCAATCTTCTCACCTTGGCCTCCTGAGTAGCTGGGACTACAACTGTGTGCCATCACACCTGGCAAGTGTGTGTGTGTGTGTGTGTGTGTGTGTGTGTGTAGAGACAGAGTCTTGATATGTTGTCTAGACTGATCTTGAACTCTTGGGCTCAAGTGATCCTCCCACCTCAGTCTACCAAAGTGCTGAGATTACAGGTGACAGCCATTGTGCCCCGCCTATTTATCAATTTTTTTTTTTTTTTTTTTTTTGAGACAGAGTCTCACTCTGTGGCCCAGGCTGGAGTGCAATGGCATGATCTCGGCTCATTGCAACCTTCCCCCAACGTGCCACCATACCCAGCTAATTTTTGTATTTTTAGTAGAGATAAGGTTTCACCATGTTGGCCAGAATGGTCTCAAACTCCTGACCTCAGGTGATCCACCCACCTTGGCCTCCCAAAGTGCTGGGATTACAGGCATGAGCCACTGCACCCAGCCTGTTTGTCAAGATTTAAAATGACATTAATTGGCCTAGTTATGATATTTCTAAGAATTTAGCCTACGTATATATTTACATGAGTGTTGATGGTAACAAGGATATTCACTGCAGTATTGCTTTCATTATCTAAAAAGCAAAATGATGTGGTGAGGGATAATTTAAATGTCTACTAACAGAGGGCTGAATGAAGAAATCCACGTAATAAACTATTATGCAGCCACAGAAAGTGAGGTATTCTCTACGGACTTGTATGGAACCATCTCAAAATCTGCTGTTAAATGGAAAAGAAATCTAAGTGCAGAACAGAAGATAGAGCACGTTCTAGTTTGTTGATGAGTCTAGATGCTTATATATGGATAGACTATTTCTAGAAGGATATACAAGACCCATAATTCTAATTGTCTTTTGAAAAACAGTCTCAGGAACTAGAGGTCTGAGGGTCGGAGGTGGAAGAGAAACTTCCTTTTCACTGAATGTCTTTTGGAGTTATCCAAATATTTTAGCACACGGTAAAATAGATATTAATTGATAAAATAGATATTACCATCAAATAGATAGTAAAATATTTGGATGTTTTACATATCCAAAGTGCATGTAATACTCTGACACTAAAGGAAAAACAAACTAGTTAAAAGTTTTTTTAAAAGTTGTGGTACAATTTAAACATTACAGCTAAAACACTCATATTTCTTCCAAATTTGGCTTTTAATTTAATTTTATTAATTGTTTTTCTTTTTTGAGATGGAAATTCCTTCTTGTTGCCCAGGATGGAGTGTAATGGCGTGATCTCAGCTCACTGCAACCTCCGCCTCCCAGTTTCAAGTGATTCTCCTGCCTCAGCCTCCCCAGTAGCTGGGCTAATTTTTTTGTGTATTTTTAGTAGAGACAGGGTTTCACCATGTTGGTCAGGCTGGTCTTAAACTCCTGACCTCAGGTGATCCACCCTCCTTTTCCTCCCAAAGTGCTGGGATTACAGGAGTGAGCCACAATGCCCGGCCACATTTAGCTTTTAAAATAGTACTGTCTCATGATTCCATTTATAGAAAACTCTAGAAAATTATAGAAAATAATCTATAATTTGAGAAAGCAGTCAGCGGCTGCCTGAAGGTGGGACATGGAGAGAGAAGGCAGACAGGGGGATACAGGAGATAGTGAATGCAAAGAGGCACAAGGAACATTTTGGTTGAGATGAAAGGGTCATTATCTTGGTATAAACATACATGAGGACTTATCAGTGCACACTGTATTTTTTATTTTTAATTGATAAATAATAATTGTATATATTTACAGGATATAATGTAATGTTTTGATCTGTTTATATTATGGAATGAGTATATCAAGCTAATTCACATATCCTCACATACTATTTTTTTGTTGTGGGAACATTTACGTTATATACTTTATATGTAATTTATGTTAACCCCACTAAAACTGTTATTTAAAAAATACCATTACTTGTCATCTTTGAAATGACTTGTTTCTATCATTAATTAAACCTCTGGTTCTTCTGCTCCTCCTTGAAACGTGGAGTTTATATTTTATTTGAAGCTGAATTTTTAAAATGTCACACAGGTTTCTGAAACTGGATGAATTAAAAGTATCTAGACCTAGAAATACATTTCTAGCTAGATAGGAATCTTTGAGATACCATACAACTGTATGCATTTCATTAAGGACTATGTTTTGGAATGCTGTATTCTATTTGTATTTTGTCCCTCTCTGTTTTCCTTAGTTATATGTGTAGCTACGATAGGGAACTTTTAGTGTCAATGGAAATATACATTATTCTATTGCTAATGAAAGGTCCTGTGCTCCCTTTAGAACATTTCTAAGCTCACAATTCTGATCAAAATGCTCTGAGCTCGGGAAGAAGAGAATTGTGCCTTTCAGAAACTTTGAAAGTATTTAATTTCATATGCCAATTGTTCAGCAAACTATTAAACATTAGGTAAGCTTTCAAAGTCCAACATGTTTATATTCTTATTTTATTTCTCATTTGTGGAAATTAAAAATTCCCCTAGACTCATAATTTATATTTAAAGTCTCTATTATTGAGTCCCAAATAATGAAACAAATGTCTGTTTAAAATACCTTAATCATTTTTTCCACTACAACCTTATTTCCCCTGATACCTGATAGCCACAGGGTAAGTGATTTCCTCAGGGTTGTGGGATATTAAATAATCTTTCTTTTTTTATTGTTCTTCTTTTTAAAAATTTCTTTGAGACAAGTCTCACTCTGTCACTCAGGCTGGAGCACAGTATCATCTGTTTCCTTTAAGGAGGGTGCAAAGTTGTTCTAACAGATTTCGTTACAAGGGTACCAACTGGCCGCTCCCAGCATAGATGGTTTTTTGAGTTCGCCTCTTTTTTTTTTTTCTTCTTTTTTGGCCTCACTTCGTATGAGAGAAACTGCTTGAGTGAGGGAGGTGAAAGGAGTCCTGGAGGGTGTTCTCTGAGGTTTTCCTCACCATCCTCATTAGCCACCTGAGGAGGGGGCAGAGGACTGAAGTAGGACAGAAGGTCTCTGGTAGCTAGAGGAGGGGAAAATCAGGGGGATCCCCCACTTTCTTCACACCCAGGACGCAGGGTGCCGCTGCCGGCCACAGAAACCCCAAGAATGCCCACAGTGGCATAATTATGGCTCAGTCTCACTGCTGCCTTGACCTGCTGTGCTCAGGTGACCCACTCACTTCAGCCTCCCAAGTAGCTGGGACTACAGACACATGCCACCACACTCATCTAATGTTTGTATTTTTTGTAGAGATGAGGTTTCACCAATGCTGTCCAGGCTGGTCTTGAACTCCTGAGCTCAAGTGATCTGCCTGCCTTGACTTCCCAAAGTGCTGGGATTATAGGCACAAGCCACCGTGCCCAGACTGTTTTCTTGTTTATAGATTTATAACAGAAAATATTAAAATAAAACGAAGTTTTTATTAAATACAAATACTATAAATCTTTATGTACAAATTGATGCATTTATTTTCCAACTCTGCACATTTATTTTACTTTTAATGACAGAATAGGGGTTGTTTAGAAAGATGGTCTTAGATTAAGGGAATATTATGCCCTCCGAGTTTTATATCTTACTATTTTATAAAGAGTTGAGTTAAAAAAAAAAAATCCAAAAATAAGGTTTTTTTTTTATGTGTGCAATGATGCCTAAACCCAATCTCCACACTTAGCCCATGACCATCCCTGCCTACCACCCTGCCTTCAGCCCACTGACATGGTACCTCAGCTCTCACATCTGAAGTCCTGGCTAGTATAATCTGCAGCATCAGTTGCTCCTCTTTTGTTTTTTTATCTTTTTAAGTCAGGATCTCACTCTGTCGTCTAGGCTGGAGTGCAGTGGTGCGATCTTGGCTCACTACATACAGCCTCTGTCTCTTGGGCTCAGGCAATCCTCCTGCCTCAGCCTTCTAAGTAGCTGGGAGGATAGGTGTGTACCACCACACCCTGCTAATTTTTGTATTTTTTGTAGAGACAGGGTTTTGCCATAATCCAGGATGGTCTCAAACTCCTGGGCTCAAGCAATCCACCACAAAGTGCTGGGATCACAGGTGTGAGCCACCACATCCCATCTAGTTACTCCTCTTGACTCCACCACCTGTCCTTGAATAGTCAGCATCTAGAACTATACTGGCCCATGACAGACATTCAACCAACTGTTCCTCCTCCTTCAGCCCAGCACCCTCCTTCTGGGCCTGCTAAGCCTCATCAGACTGTGTCCTGCAGCCACTATATCCCAGGGAAGGAGCAGAAGAGGCAGAGCCACTGACAGTACAACCAGTGATGAGCCAAGCCTCACAGAGGAGTCAGGCTTTGAGAGGAGCTCACAAGAAAAATCCCCCAGCAAGGAGAAGAGCTCGTTACTATTTTGCAGTCCCCCTGAAATGTGAGGAGGGATTTGCTTGTTAGTTCCCTGAATTAGCTTCTCTGTAAAGGGTATCAAGTAAGCCTATATATAATAAAGTCAGAAGGTATATCTACCTAATAACTCTTACCTTGAGGGGAACATGCAGTCATTTTCCCGGTATAGTCTGTTCTTAATGATCTGATAGTGGGTCCCTAGCTTCCGTCTGACCACCTCTGCCATCATCTTCCTGGAGATACCTCCTCGGAAAGGAGTTAGATCTTCTTCTATGACGCTGGGAAGGAATGGGAGTCATCAAGGAAAGCAGGTACCATTCCACCTACTTCCTAAGTGCATTTAGGTTTCATATTAGAGAACACCATAAGCGGAAGGAAACAATTGAGGGTGAGAATGAGCAGCTCTTCCCTAGAAGCCCTGAAGGTAAACTGAAACATCAAAGGCAATAAAGCAACAAAAAGTAAAAAGCCGGTCAATGTCTCTTCTTTCTCCCTCCATCTGGATTGCCCCTTTATTCCTCTTTCGCTACTCATACCACACCTGTGTCCTTCTAGTCACTTCAGTCCTACTGGCATCTCCTTCTCCCAATCCCACAGGAAGTGAAGTTTATGCCTGACAGTCTAGCACTGACTCTCTTGTTCTGGTCTGTCTGGTCTGCATTCTCCCCTACACCCCCTTACTCTGGTAGCCTGACAGCACTATTACACAATTTTGTATTCTTTTTAAAGTTGAGTACACAGTAAGTTTTCAACAAGTATCATAAGCATCCAGGGGATTTTTTGAGGAGTCAAAATAACATAATGAGGAGCTTAAAAAACCCTGTTATTTAGCTGATGAAGAATCTGAAACCCAGAGTAGTGAAGTGGCTTGGCATAGGGGTAATCAGTGGGAGTACCAGCACTAATACCCAAGTCTGCTTTCAGAGTTCTTTTTCTACCATACCGCATCCTGGCCCTAATGTGCATTCTCTTATTTATTTATTTATTTATTTATTTATTTATGAGATGGAGCCTTACTCTGTTGCCCAGGCTGGATGCAGTGGTGCGATCTCAGCTCATTGTAACCTCTGCCTTCCAGGTTCAAGCACTTCTTCTGCCTCAGCCTCTCAAGTAGCTGGGATTACAGGTGCATGCAACCATGCCCAGATAATTTTTGTATTTTCAGTAGAGAAGGGTTTCACCATATTGGCCAGGCTGGTCTCAAACTCTTGACCTCAGGTGATCCACCTGCCTTAGCCTCTCAAAGTGCTGGAATTAGAGGCATGAGCCACCATGCCCAGCCCGATGTGCACTCTCTAAATATAACCATTAGGAAATTTAGGACTACATTCAACGATAGATGGGTTTATTTCTTAAACAATATTTATCAAGCACTTACTGAGGGCCAGCACCAGGGAGACACAGCAAATAAGACACAAACCCTAACCTCAGGAAGCATGTAGCCCAGTGGGAAAAACAGATACACATGCACTGAATCCCACAGCAAGTCAGTGGTTAGGCTGAGACCTCTTGAGCCTCTCCCATCCCAGAGCTTTTTTCTTCTCCCTAGAAATACAAAAACATCCTTGCCTTTCTGATCACTGCATCCCAATCTCTCAAAGATGTTAGAATACTTCCTGTGACAGCAACTAAACTCTCAAAGACATATCAAAGAAAAGAACTCACCCATGGTAGCAGCTGCAGTTTTGACTTGAACATGGTTCATAATTCTCCAAAGACCTGTTAATTTGGTCAATAAATACTTTCCATTTTGAACCTTCAAAAAGTGAAGTAAATGAGAGTTAACAAAATTCTCCTGAGCATTCGTATTTGCTAACAGCACACAGGCAGAAGCAACAGAAGACCGAAGCTTTCAGAAATCCCCTTCCCATCCCGCTGGTGGAAAGAAAAGGCCAGGGAGGAATTTTTGTGTGTGTAACTACCGCGCTCACGTCAAGTTTGTTCCTCTAGCCGGGTATCAGGTGTCTAAGAAACTGGAAAATTCTCAAGCTTAATGCCCAACCCTCAGAATGCTATGGATAGTGATGCGGACTCTCACTATATACTAATCAAATTGAACGCCGCAAAGAGGATCAGTTAAAAGCTACAGAAATTAAACCCCGTTTCTTCTCTTCTGGCAACGCATATACACACACGGGCGCAAGACAACATTCGCCTCCATCCCCGACCCCCCAGTGTTTCAGGCAGGTAGCCAAGCAAAGGCGACACTTCCTGCGAGTGAATGGGGAATTCCCTCTCCTCCCTGTCATTCTGAATTCCGGGGGATGGGTTACTCTCCAGGGTCCAGGGCGGGGCCGAGACCCCGGAACCTCACTCTCCGCCGCAAGGCGCCCAAGTGCCCTCTGTCCAGTTCCAAGCTCCAAGCATCATCCCGGGTGCCAGCCTCGCGGGGAAGCGCCTTGGGACCCCGGCCAGCCCTTGAGGCCAAGGGGAGGGTCAGCCCTGCCCGGAGCCCACCTGACTCCTTCTGGCGGCCCTGCGCTGGGGGCAGGAGGAACAGCAGCCAGAGCCAAATCGGCGAGCTTGCCCACCACTCCATCGCCAGCGGACCTGCTGCAGATTCCCCGCTGCGGCGCCAGCGGAAGCGCGGCCCCGCACAAAGATGGCCCGGGAGCCGCAGCACGTGGGCGGCGGGTCGCCCCGCACAAAGATGGCCACACTGCTCCCCCCACCCCTCCTCCAGCCCCCAGCCTTGCGGAGTTTCCCCGAGAAGTGTGCGCCTGGAAGGTGGGGAAAATAAACGAATGGATCAGCTGCCTGTCCTTCCTCTCTGGCACCCCTGAGAAAATAGGTCTGCAGCCAGAAAACTGAAGGTCAGAGAGGATATGTTTCACAGTTAGTGGCACAACCAAGGCTTGGCATAGAGCCTAGGCTAGACAGTTCTTCTCTTGATGTCAAATTGTCTCTTATCAAATGGCATAGATCTTTGAGTGTGTGTGTGTGTGTGTGTACAGCACGGTTAGACCCCAGAGGTTGCAATTAGCATAGCATGGGTCCTTTTGTAATAGAAATTTATAACAGTTGGGGTGACTTAGATGTAGGAAAAATGAATCAATGGTGTTGAATAAAGTTTACAGGAGGTCGTTGTTTAGGACTGAACTCTGGCATCAGGCCTCAAGTGAGTAGAAAAAACCAGAATGGAGGCACTTGTCCTAGGTGCCACGAAATTAAACAACTTTAAAAGGGGCCAGTTTCCCAACAAATAGGAGATTGGCAGCAACCAGTCAGAAGGGGCTCATATACCTGAGCTGGCATGATAAAGAAGTCCCCTCTGATACTTTTTAAGGAAAGTAATTTCAAAATGACCAATCTGATTTTTGTTTCTTATTTCTAATTTCTTCAGCCCATTTTTGTCTATAAGGCCAACCCCTTCTGCTTAGCTCATTAGAACACCTTTCTGTTTCATAGATGGGATCATGCCTGATTCATGAATCACTAATAAAAGCCAATTGATTTTTTTTGTTTGTTTGAGACAGAGGACAGAGTCTCACTCTGTCACCCAGGCTGGAATGCAGTAGCACAATCTTGGCTCACTGCAACCTCTGCCTCCCAGGTTCAAGTGATTCTCTGGTCTCAGCCTCCCAAGTAGCTGGGACTCAGCTTCCTGAGTAGCTGGGATTACAGGCATGTACCACCACGTCTGGCTGATATTTGTATTTTTAGTAGAGACAGGGTTTCACCATGTTGGCCAGGTTGGTCTTAAACTCCTGACCTCAGGTGATCTGCCCACCTCGGCTTCTTCTGGAATCCAAATGAAACTTTAGTCAAACTTTTTTTCTACTTCCAGGAAGCTGTGCAGTACAATCGTGTATTTGTTTAACAATGGGAATATGTTTTGAGAAATGTGTCAGGCAATTTTGTTGTTGTGTGAATATCATAGAGTTACTTACACAAACCTAGGTAGTATAGCCTACTGCATACTGAGGATATTTGGAATAGCCTATTGATCCTAGGCTACAAACCTATTCAGCATGTTACTGTATTGGATATTACAGGCAATTATAACACAATGGTAAGTATTGATGGATCTAAACATAGAGGTACAGCAACAGAGTAAAAATGATACACCTGTATAGGGCACTTATCATGAATGGAGCTTGCAGCACTAAAAGTTGCTTTGGATGAGTCAGTGAATGAGTGGTGAGTAAATGTGTACACCTAGGATATTACGCTACTGTAGATTTTATAAAAACTGTACAATTAGACTATACTAAACCTATAAATGTATTTTCTCTCTACAGCAATAAATTAGCTTACTGTAACTTTTTTACTGTATAAAATTCTTAATCTTTTTCAACTTTTTGACTTTAAGTAATAACATTTAGCTTAAAACACAAGTACATTGTACAGCCATACAGAAAAATTTTCCTTCCTTCCTTCCTCTCTCTCTCTCTCTCTCTCTCCTCTCTTTCTCTCTTTCTTTCTCTTTCTTTTTGACAGTGTCATTCTGTTAACCAGGCTGGAGTGCAGTGGTGCAATCTCAGCTCACTGCAACTTCCACCTCCCAGGTTTAAGCAATTCTCATGCCTCAGCCTCCTGAGTAGCTGGGATTACAGGTGTACATTATCACACCTGTCTAAATTTTGTATTTTCAGTAGAGACAGGGTTTCTCCATGTTTGCCAGGCTGCTGTCAAACTCCTGGCCTCCCAAAGTGCCAGGATTATAGGTGTGAGCTACTGCACCCAGCCTATTTTCTTTGTTTCTATCTTTATTTTATATCCTTTTTTCTATTTCTAAAATGTTTTATTTTATTTTCTACTTTTTAACTTTTTAAACTATTTTCTTGAAAACTAATATGCAAACACTCATGTGTGTGTTTGGGTCAAGCCTACACTGGGTCAGGATCATCAATATCACTATCTTTTACCTCCACATGTTGCCGCTCTGGAAGATCTTCATGGTGGTAACACACATGGAGCTGTCATCTTCTATGATAACAATGCCTTCTTCTGGAATACCTTCTGAAAGACCTGCCAGAGGTTGTTTTACAGTTAACTTTCATGTTTTTTAAATAAGCAGAAGGAGTACATGCTAAAATAACAATACATGTATGTATAGTAAATACGTAAACCAGTAACACAGTAATTTATTATCATTATTTTGTATGATATACTATACATAATCCTATGTGCTATACTTGTATACAACTGGTAGTACAGGTTTGTGTACACGAGGATACATTGCACTACAACATAAAGACAGTTACATCACTAGGCAATAAGAATTTTTTGGTTCTAGTATACTCTCATGGGCTCACCATCATATATGTGGTCTTCCATTGACTGAAACATCATTATAGGACATATGACTATACTTAAAAATGAAAACAACAAAAACAAAAACGAACCCAGAATAGTTGTACGATTACTGGAAGCACACTTTCTACTGAATGGGTATTGGTTTTGCACCATCATAGAATCAAAAAATTGTGAGTCAAACCATCCTAAGTTGGAGACCTGTGTGTATTCCTAAGTGACAGCTCTGTGGTACATTAGGAATATTTGGGAATATTACTAACTGTACTGGTTTTGGTATCAGTTATTCTGGCTCAAAATTCTGGTTCTGGCACTTATTAGCCAGGCTATTTTTTTTTTCTTTTCTTTTCTTTTTTTTTTTTTGGAGACAGGGTCTTGCTCTGTTGCCCAGGCTGGAGTGCAGTGGTACAATCTCAGCTCACTGCAAGCTCAGCCTTCCAGGCTCAAGCAATTCTCCTGCCTCAGCCTCTCGAGTAGCTGGGATTACAGGCACATGTCACTACTGGCTGGCTAATTTTTGTATTTTTAATAGAGATGTGTTTTCACCATGTTGGCCAGGCTGGTCTTGAACTCCTGACCTCAAGTGATCCACCCGCCTCAGCCTCCCAAAGTGCTGGCATTACAGGCGTAAGGCACTGCACCCAGCTAGCCAGGCTATTTTCTTTTCTTTCTTTCTTTCTTTTCTTTTCTTTTTTTTTTTTTGAGACAGGGTCTCTCTCTGTTGCCTAGGCTGGAGTGCAGTGGCACACTTTCGGCTCACTGCAAACTTGACCTCCAGGGCTCAAGTGTTCCTCCCACCTTAGCCTCCCAAGTAGCTGGGACTACAGGCATGAGCCACCATGCCCGGTTGATTTTTTAATTTTTTTGTAGAGACGAGGTCCCACTATATTGCTCAGGCTGGTCTCAAACTCTTGAGCTCAAGTGATTCTTTCACTTTGCCTCCCAAAGTGTTGGAATTACAGTCATGAGCCACCCTGCCTGCCAGCCAGGATATTTTCAACAAGTTACTTAATTTCTCTTAACTTCAATTTCCTCTGTAAAATAGGAACCATAGTAGAAGCTATCAAAATGTGAGATTTAAATGAAATGTGTAAAGCTACTAGTCCAGTGCCTGATACAACATAGTTCTTAATAAAAGCTATTTAATCATGCAATTCAATACAAATAACTTTCAATTAAGGAATTTTTAAAATCTCTGGAGTGAAAGATCACACAAATGCTCCTTTTGACACTCTTACACTTCTTTGTCTTTTTTTTTTGAGATGGAATCTTGCTCTGTCACCCAGGTTGGAGTGCAGTGGCATGATCTCTGCTCACTACAACCTCTCTGCCTCCTGGGTTCAAGCAATTCAGCCTCAGCCTCCGGAGTAGCTGGGACTGCAGGCGCCTGCCACCACACCTGGCTAATTTTTGTATTTTTAGTAGAGATGGGATTTCACCTTGTTGGTCAGCCTGGTCTCAAACTCCTGATCTCGTGATCCGCCCACCTCAGCCTCCCAAGGTGCTGGGATTACAGGCACGAGCGACCGCGCCCGGTGAGACACTCTTACTCTTCTAATATCAAACTATTGGCAATTCCAGAACTCATCATGACGTTGCTCACATCTTTACTGTTTTATCTGCCACTTCCCTTCCAGGAGGACAGCCATTCTCCTATAAAGCCCCTTAGCATTTGTGGAATCTTGGCTGAAACCCCAAGCTCTCTGCAAAGCTTTTCTTGGTATTGACACCACCACCATCCCACAGAATTCATTAGTCTTGCATGCTATCTTTGGACCTTGGATATACTTTTGTTGCATTTATTGTAACCAGTGGTAATTACTGTATTTTCCCGGTGTCTTCTCTCTTCCACTAGACTCTGAGCTTTTGTTGTATTCACTTTGTAACCACAGCCTCTGTCTAGTCCTTTACTTACACAATAAGTGCATGGTTGGATGCTGAAGCATGACTTCACGACTTGGGCTCCTTGACTTAGCGATGACGTGACCCTAGGTGACACCTCCCAATCTCCACTCATCTGTAAAATGGGGGTGATAACTTATTACATGGAGTTTCCGAGACATCTAGAAGGGTCACTAGCATGGTGCCTACACTTCGTAGCTGCGAGCCAACTGAGACCAGGGAAGAAATGCGTTGGCCAGTACTGGCCGGAAGGGGCGAGACCGCGAGTCAAGAGGAGCAGGCGAGTCCCACTGCGCAAGTGCAAACGGGAGGGGTTGGAGTGCCGGCTAGTTCCGGGGGCTCACTGGCGGCGGGGAGGCCCACGGTCGCGGAGCTGACGTCATCGCCGTGCGCTGCCACGTCTGCTCAGCTCTGCGGTAATGGAGGTTGGGGATGGGTGCTGACGGGACCAGGCTCTGGCTGTAGCTTTAGCTCTGGCTCTGGAACTGCCTCGGAGTCTGCGTCTGAGTCTGGCAATCGGAAGCCTGGACACCTTTTCTTGACTGTCTAGGCGGGGGCTGCCTGCGTACAAACAGCTAGTTTGGAGCGTTTCAACGCGCGGAGGGAGTTCCATAAACTGGGGTCCAGTCTGTAAAGTGGTCGCCGCTTCCTAGGGATCCCGCCCCACCGGCTGGGACTCTTCATGCGTGAGTATTACTGAGCTGCCACAAGGTCCCGCTGTCCTGGACCTGCCTTGGCCCTCTTGGGTGTGCGGCGGAGACTGCTTTGTCGAGTTCTCTGCCGAATTCTCTTAGGGACCAGTCTGTTGAAGTTTGTGGTCTCCTGCCATTCACCCCACCCCATACTCTCACCTCTTCCGTCCCAGTTTTTTGCCCTTCACTTTTCCTTCCATTTGTTCGTTAACGGAGCAAGGACCAGCAGCCCCTGCATCCAGCGGTTTCAGTACTTTGTTTCACTTGGTGTTAGTTTACAGCCGAAGGCTTTTAGGAATAGGGAACATTTGAAAACCAGGGTTTTTCCAGTGTTATCCTTGGGGTTTTAGTTGTATTGTTTAGGAAACATTTGGTATCTATTGGCAGAATCATGATTTTTGCCGTAGAATGATGAAAACAGCTTTTTTTTTATTCCTCCATAGTGAGGATCTTTTACTTGTCTCTTAATCTTGCAGTTTCAGTAATTACTGTATGATTTTACATAAGCTTTTCTGGAGCGGGCATCCACTTAAACAGTTCCTTTCAATATTTTCACCCTAACATATAGAGATACCACTTGAACAGTTTTACTTTTAAACAGTTAAAAAACCTAATGGTACCCTTTCATTCCTCTTCCTCAGTCCTAACAATCTCCATAGATCAGGGGACACTTTTTTTCCCCCAGTGAAGAAACAAACTCAGAAGTTAACTGATC